TACATATATATATATATATATATATATATATATATATATATATATATATATATATATATATATATATATATATATATATATATATATATATATATATATATATATATATATATATATATATATATATATATATATATATATGAACTTGGCTTTGGGATTTCTTCAGACATAAAAATACACAAAGTATATTTTCCAAACGTTTCGCCTTTTACGGCTTCTTCAGTGGAATGTATTTTTACAATAATATATATATATATATATATATATATATATATATATATATATATATATATATATATATATATATATATATATATATATATATATATATATATTACTAGTTTGGCTCTTGAGTCTATTTTTATTATGATTTCAAATGGCATCATGTAAATTATGTCTATAAAAATGTTTTTATTTGTAGTGACGAAGATATTGATTCTGGTCCTGCTGCTGTTCCTGTTTCAGCGCCTCAGGGAAGTAGGCTAAGTAGCAGTTCTGATGAGTTTATATCTGAACCACACTCCCCCATTAGCAAAAGGTCTAAGCATAGAGGAAAAGGTAGGTGAATGGGTAGAGGTAGAGCTAGAGGGAAGCCGACTAGGGCCTAGGCGAATGTTCCCTGTCTAGCACCCCACTAGGCCCCATAGTGCATGAGGGATTTGGTGATCCTGACACTAGGAATATTCTCCCAGATTTTGCACCTTACTGACATGTCGTGATCCATTTTGATCAAGCTTTCACCAGAAGTATGAACTGTGAGCTTGAGTTCTTTCGACTCTTTTTCATTAAGGAAATGCTTCAGAAGGTAGTTGCCCATACCAATACATATGCCCACATACAAATAACCCAAAAATCATCCTCGTATACTAATAAAGAAGGGTCTTGGATGGCCACCAACCTTGAGGAGATCGAGAGGTTGATTGCCTTTTTAGTATATGCATGTTTGGTAAAGGTCGAAAGTGAGATTGAAAATTATAGGAGTGTAAAAACCTTATATCATGGTCTGTGGGCAAGAGAAATAATTTCTTGGTTTAGGTACAAAGCCCTTATGGCATTTCTGAATGTGGTTAACCCTGTCACTGAAGACCCTAGCAATAAACTGCATCAACAACTGTACCAGCCATCGCAGAGTATTGCTGTTGACAAACGCGTGGTCAAATCAAGGAATAGGTCAGGGATTAAGGACATTAAGCAGTACATGAAAGATAAGCCAGCTACTAAGTGGAGGATAAATCTGTGGGTTGCTACAGACAGTTCTCATGATTATACTTGCAACTTTGAGATTTATACAGGGAAGAAGTCCAGAGAATCATCGCAGCATGGATTGGGGTATGACGTGGTGATGTGATCTAAGTTTTGTTACAGTCTTAGGTCTTTTGTGGTCCAATATATATTTTGTGCCAAAAAAAGAAATATTTTCACCAGATGCAAGAAAAAATCCGTCGGGCAGAACACGAATATATGAATATACCCCCCCCCCCCCAATTATCGTTCTA